TTTTCATTGGTTGATATCCCGACATAAATATCTAATGTTATAACAAATGATAGTCTAGGCAGTACTTAACAAGTGATTTTTCATTTTTGTATCAGTCACTGTGCATGATCGCCATAATTTATTTCTAATTTATGGGTTTTTTTTTTTTTTTTTTTTTTGGTGGGTGGGGGGGGGGGGGGGGGGGGGTCTGTATGCGTGTCCAAGCCCTCCCTGTGCCCCCCCCCCCCCCATTCCAATCCAATACTCAATCCTACTGGCAGTTAGTCTCATTGGATGTTTCTTTTTCTTACAGTACCTTGCATTATGTTTCACCTCCGTCTTCTGGTTCACCGGGTCGCCATTCATCAGCAGGCGTGCATTTGCAGCCATCTTTTCCAAGAAGATCTTGCCTCCTTCTACAGTGAACACTGCATGCTGTGCCATTATGCTGAGGAAAAATACAGCATTTGCTTAATAAATGATATACAGTGTATATTTATTTTTTTTTACCTAAAGATATTTTGAAGTAGCAACATGCAGGTACCAGTACAAACTCAATTACTGGTATGCGTATAATTTTTGTATTTAATAAATCAATCACCATTTTTGGCCTTAATTATATTGTACCAAGTACTCAATAATTGCAACAGTTCTTTTTCCCTCATCCAGAAATGGACCAAAAATGTTTTCTAATAACCTACTTCAGTAGCATATACTTCACAAGTAAAAAAATGTGAGACAATTTCAGCAAGTATACATAGTTAAGTGCTATCAGTGCTACAATTAAGGCTTTTAAAGGCAGTAAACGCTTTTTAAACAGCTTTTATCCAAGTGCAGTGATGCATTTTAATTTGATGTCAAAACAAAATTCTTAATTTATTTATTTATTGTATTATTTTATTATTTTACTCTGTATATTGCTCCAAAAGGAAATGATTTCCAATTTTTATAATTGGCTAAATAAACTCTTATCTTATCTTATCTTATCTTATCTTACAATTTTTATAGAAAAAAATAAAAGGAAGAAAGGGTGGATATTTTCAATTATCAATTATCAACATGGCCACCAACCTTGGACCAGCCAGCACAATGTCAGACTGTTCTCCTTTCTTGCTGCCGACTGTCTTGGTGTCTCCGTCAATAAAGTAGACAATTTTCCCCGTCAGCTGTGGGTCAAAGTTTAAGTTGGAGAGATGTGGCACAGTCTGTTTCTTGGCTTGGGTATCTGACAGTGATGATGCCTAAGATTTTAAAAAGTTTGAATTGTATTCATATGCACAATATGACATTACAATGCAGTTATGTAATTTGCATTTGCAATTCACTACATATCTTAAACAATCATTCATTTCTATATAAATACCCAAAAAAAACTCACTTCCAAATTAAAATACTAGTAGAGACACTCAAAAATAGATCAACAAACAATTTAACTACATTCATATATATGTACACATTAACAAACACTGACCTTGCTATCCTCCTGAGATTCTCTCAGTTTGTCTTCATATGCCTTCTTCATCTCTTCCATTTGCTTGGCATTTTCCTCTAACTCTGCCTTGTACTCCTCCTCTAGCTGCTTCTTCAGGGCAGCAATTTCTGAAAAAAAAGGGGAAAAAAAGAATCAGTTACAATAACTAACAGTGAAAAGCTGACATTAAGCACGCTGTAAAATGTACATGTAAATTTACAAACCAAAAAGTATCTTTGCCCTTTAAACTAAGGTTTATTCTTTTGTTATAAGGCAAGTGGAAAAAATTATAATTGGATTAAGAACTTTTTAAATCTTTTGACTGAATGACTGACAATAACTTGATCTGTGTCACATCTTATGGTATAACATGAGAATTATTTCCTCAGAGAGGGTTGCGCTTTTAGATGTAAATTGATCCTCACCCTCCTCTGACATCCCTTCTGAAGCCTGAATCTCATCATCGCCATCGCCCCGTGGCACCTGGATATTTCCTCCCTCCATCATCTTCTTCAACCTCTCATTCTCCTCCTGAAGCTCTCGGATCAGTTTCTCTGTGGGGTCCTCATTCACTGTGGCCTTGGTCTTGATCTGCTTGGCTCGGTCAGCTGGAGAAGAATGCACACTCTGTCACATCTAACACAATGAATTAGGTTGCATCTAGCACAATGGATCTGAGTCACATCTAACACATTTACTCTAACAGAATGCAAAATTTTGCATGACCTTCATTTTGGCTTTAGACCAGCTCAAGCAAAGCACAGCACAATATGCTTTACGGGTAAGCATATTGATAGTGGTAGAGAATTATTATTATTATTATTATTATTATTATATATACCAACACCTGACTCACCATATCTCAGTGTGCTCAGGGTTTCATCATAGTTGATGTCAGCTGGACTCAGGGCAGCTATCTGCAAAAAAATATGATGGATCATCCTTTAAAGATATGCCAAAAAAAATGTGAATATACTGGTTTGTTTTTATATACATGTATATAAACCAGCAAAATTCCCTCAATGTTCCAAATTACTATCAACTAAACTGTGACTGTATGTATACCACTTAGATAGCTTGTATTTGGCAGCATGTTGGTTGTGATCACTATAGAGCTGGTATAAAAACCCACCATAATTGTCTTGCTGTTTCCACCCAAGGCATTCTTCAGCAGCATAGTTAACACTGAGTTACGGTATGGTACTAAAAATGAAAAAAAAAAGAATAAATATTTAAGTTTCATGATAAGCTTAGCAACTGCAAAGCAGAACAACCCTCAGAATTACTTCCTTCAAATATGTTTTGCATGAGAAAATACCATAGTTCGAAACAAAATGATAAAAATGAATCTTCCCACTTACTTTTCATTGTAAACTGGGATGTGCCAGTAAACATGTGCATATCTTATCATAAAGATATCACTGGTATCTAAAGACTACTAAAATCATTTATGAATTCTTGCACAACATTTAAAGAAAAGATACATTATTTTAAGGATTAGGGTTAGGGTTATTTTAAGAAATATTGTAAAATGTATCAAGAAATATGGTGATTAATTAAATCTAAAAAAAACCTACTTGTTAATTGAATCAATAATGCTGTTTATATCGGTGTGATCATATTTACCTCTGGTATTTTTCCCTGATGATTTTTCAGCCAGTGCAGAGATGACATTACCAAGAGAAGACAACGACTGGTTGATAGCAGCGCCCTCTTTCAGTCTGTCGCCTGTGGCACCTGTGCTGTCAGCACGCTCACTGAATAGCAATAAAAACCATCATCATCTACTGAAGCAAAGTAGGCCTACTGGGAGGATTTTCAACATTGTATTGAAATGCTTAGGGTGAAAGTGGAATTAATACTCCCAACTGTTGTCCATTTAGACACCTATTGATCATTATAGAATTTTTAAAGTAAATTGAAAACACTTTGAAAAAATCAACATAAAATTTGTTTTAACATGAATGTATGAAAAGTGATGAAAATTGGTAAACACACCTGTAGAAAAGTAACTAACTGCTGTAATTACTTTCAGTATTTATTTTCTCTCTCTCTCTTTTTTTTTTTTTTTTTTTTTTTTACCTACTGTAGCAGTTTAAATATCATTTAACTTCTAAATATTCTAGACTTTGTGTTCTCACCAAGGTGAACATCAGAATTGAGAAAGTGACAATAAATACCTCAATGAAGCAAGTATGCATGCACATGTACACACCCAATCAATAAAGAGATAATAACTAATATAAAAGATATTTAGACACTCAGTGGGGTCGTCGTGACCTACCTTCCAGCCAGATCTACCAGGTTGACTATCCCAGTCTTAGCCGTCTCTTCTCCTGCAGCATTCTTGAACTTCTGTATCAGTGTGATTCCAACGATGGTGTGAGCACGACTGAAATTATATATGCATAGATTGAGAGATGTCCTATCCTAACATAAATTCTTCTTTTTCGTTGTTATTATCCATCAAGCAGAATTTTACCACTTCACCATTTACCATGCACTCAAAAGATTACATCAGCACGGCTAAAATTGTTTTATATAATCCATTGTATTTTGCTTGATTATTCTCTATTTAATTCAAAACTTCTCTTTATTCAAAACAAATATTCATCTAACCCTTTAAAATAAGCTAGACAAAGCACCAGGAGTAACTTCTCATAATATTTATTTATTTAATTATTTATTTTTATTTTTATTATTTTTTTTTTTTACCTGCTAGTAGCATTCATATTGGTGGCGGCCACAGTTCTGTTAGTCGTGCCTTCCTCCATTTTCTTCTCAATGTCATTATAACTACTCACCAAGGCGCTCGTAAGGCCTTGAGCTAGAAGCAAACAGATAATTCCTTGATTAGTGGAGTGTCTGGCAACAATGCCCGAACCAAGTACTTAGAGTTGATATTTGCGGCAAGTCAAGCCTTACACACCGCAAAAAATAATAAATAAAATAATAATAATAATAATAATAATAATTATTATTATTATTATTATTATTATTATTATTATTATTATTATTATTATGCATAAAACCTCTTACGATGATGCAACCTGTTAAAGTATTTCTAACCAGCGGAAAACATTTTCTCCAAACACTGCATAACAGAAGCAAAATATTTAAGATTTTATTCTAACTGTAACCCCAACATTTTAAATGACCTACCATAAAATCCTTTCTTAGGGTGCTGCCTGACCTTCAGGCCGCCTTTACCGCCAGACCCTGGGTTCAGCAGGTCTCTAACAATTTCATTGTATATCTCCAACATACTGAAGTTCACCTGGAAATAAACACACAGATTTTAACTTAAGACCAGAGAATATCGGTTTCTTACACCCCATTTCCATAGATTTTTAAATCGATCTATCCCTGTGGGGAGTCTCACTAGACTACTGTCAGCTTGGCCGGCTTAAGCGTCTGTCCCGCCTACTAAAAGCTGTAAGGGGGTAATTAACTATGGTGCCCGCTCGGCTGACTGCAATTTAGCGTGAACCCCCAGGGAGTTAGGTTGATCTAAAACGTAATCCTTAGATCGATCTAAATATCTGGGAAAGCACCCTTATTGATCAACTACTCTGTAACCAGCGCTATAGATATGAAGTATACTTGAGTTGTTGTTGAGTATGTTGACTTTCGGATTTAAAACCAGGTGTCAAAATTTGACAAATTGTTTCGGTACTTATTCTAAAAGTAAATTGGATAATCAGAGAGAATACGTATATCATCATGCACATGTGTATACTTAACACAAATGTTCCCTCGACATTGGCGATATCTTTTTTTTTTTTTTTTTTTTTTCGGAATCTGCCGACTCTTTTTACAATGTTATCGTTGTCCAAATTTATATATTTGTACAATTAAAGAACAATATGATAATTTAATAGTGAAAATATGGTGCGACTTAACCATCGATTTTCTTTTTCAAATTATTCTTATCCTACCTCAAACTGTGTGGAAGATCCGTTATTCTTCTCCGCATCTACTCTGTTGAAGACTTCCTCACAAAACTGAGGCACAATGCCTGGAGGGGGTAAGAAAACCATGATATGTGACGCATTTTATGTTATTGGTAATGGAGAAAATAGCATTCAGTACTCTGTATGTAATCGTGATTGCATGAAAATTCAGTGTGCAAGATTTTGGAGTGAAAATGAATTAAATCGACAACGTTTTCTAGGGATCATAAACGATAAGTATTTTTATCTGAAAAATCTAAAGAAAATGCTATACATGTAAACATAAAATAGCGATAGGTTCATTGGGAATGAGTAAAATGGACCCCGTTCCCACAAACACACACATACACACACACATATCCAATATAACTGGGTAATGAAAGAGTGGTTTAAAATCCCCTAGCGCGCGGTCACTCACCTCTGTTTACGCCGTATCCCACCACTGACCAGCTCTTGCCGGACCCTGTCTGTCCATAGGCGAAGAGGGTGGAGTTAAAGCCGTCCCAGGCGTTGGTCAGTACTCCCATACCAAGGTCCTGAAACACGGTTTTCTGGAAGAGAAATGGAGATGGCCATTAAAGGTTGTGATCTCATCAATATGTTTGAAATTATGCATTTAAAAATCTTTATCCTCAACATCTCTATACTTCACGCATTTAAAACAAAAACACAAGGCGTAAGGATAATCATATTCTTGTAATACTTAATTTTTATCACATGTCATACAATACAAATTAAATATATTCAAATTCAAAAATTAAGATCCATTTTAATTAAAATTCAAATAAAAAAATATTGAATATCAAAATGACTTTAAAAAATCAAACCTAACCTGGTCAGCGAATTTTTTCCCATTGGGGTGACCGGGATCAGGTGCGATGTAGCCGTCGCCCTCCAGCTTAGAGCCGTCGTGGGACCAGTAACTGTAGTCGAAGGTGAACGACTTGGCCTCCTCGCTAGGTGCCGAGGGGTCCTTGATGTACGTCGTCGGTCCCTTCATGTCGATAATCAGCGTGGCATTGCGGGCCTTCTCACGACTGTTGTGAGACTGGTTAAGGAGTCAGTAACTAGCACAGGGTATGTGACTGGATGTTTTAGAGAAAGCTTTCCCCATATATGCTTGACTGATATGATATGCGCCATAAACTGGGTGTATAGATCAAGCTTGGTAAATGATCTGCGCGCATATCCATTAGTATAGCCATCTATATAACAACTATGATCATTTATAAATATATCTATTAATTTGTGCTGTCATTGAATGTACTGAGTACCCTGTATATGTGAAAGTGTTTTTCAATAAATAATCTGAATCTGAATCTACCGTATTACCTAGGAATCGTACATTTTATCATCATTTTTACAAGTCTACAAACCGTACATTGGTGGGGGGGGGGGGTGCCCTCTGTAAGCTTATGAAAAATAATAAAATTGGTGACCCAAATTGATATCAATGGTCATCGATCATTTTTAGCTTTTATCTTGTAATGTACTCCTTGTACTCACCTTGTACGTGTACATTTGAATTGACGGGGCTGGGAAAGTTTACTCTTTGTAAATTTGTGAAAATGTTGATAAAAATATGTGACCCTTTATAAAGATGTGTATGTGCGAATAAATTTAAACTATTGAAGGTAATAACAGTAAAATTATGACGGCGGACCGAAAATGTGTGTGTGTGTGTGTGAGAGAGAGAGAGAGAGAGAGGGAGAGAGAGAGGAGAGAGAGAATATAGACCTACTAGGAGAGTGTGCAAGACGCAAGCATGGCGAAATGCGTGCAGAATTGAAAGGAAGCCATACCCGCGTAATTATAAACAGCAATATTGTCACAGATGCAGTGATGATGCGTAAGCCCCATAATCAAGGAGTCTGTTATAACTCCTTGCCATAATTAACCTGCCATGTATCAGTAAACCATCGTAAGCCAAGCAGTTAACACCTTTACACTATATGTCAACATTTACCAGCACAGTCTACAGGTCTCTGCCTATCACCCCATTTCCATAGATTAGATCGACCTACTTTAGATCGACCTAACTCCCTGGGGATTCACGCTAAATAGCTGTCAGCCGGGCGGACACGAAAGTTAATTACCCCCTTCCAGCTTGTAGTAGGCGGGACGGACATTTAAGTCGGATTATCTGAAAGTAATCTAGTGAGACTCCCCGCGGGGATAGATCGATCTAAAATCTATGGGAATAGAGCCTAAATATTTAGCCACAAACACAAACACCATCCTCCACACTGGAGGATGCAGAAGTGTATGTCTTAACTTTGGATTAAATTGTGTCCAGTATATATAACCGATTTAATCTTGATCTACCACATTGTCGTATACGTGTATAACCGTGTGCTTACTACATTTGTCACATAAAAAAGATATTACACCCTCCCAATAAACTGAGTTCTACCTGTATTATAGGCCCCTAAACTGCAGCAGGTTCATGCAGTGGAAAGCACTACTCGGGTAGAGACCCATTATGTACGTAAGGGATTTCTACTGAACAGATTCAAACTACACTCTACAGGAACTATGGATTACTACAGGTATCATTTAGCGACACCATACAAAGTATGTAATTAACTGCGAGTTTAAAAAATCTTCACTAGCAGGGCTATGGGTGCAGGTGCACATACTGTACATTAAAGATCGTGTGATAACAAGGATATAAATGGTCGCAAGCGTACCGCCACCTTGACGCTTTCCTCCGCCATCGTCGCAGCTGACTCGGTACTAAAATCTAAATGTTATCCTGCAGATGCGTCCAAATCGGTCCACTAATTCCTACGTTATTCCCAAAAGTTTCCAACTCAATTACTTCACTGGGCTCCTGCGTCCTCCATGTTGAATCGGTTTACAAGGTACATGTTGACACGTTGCCAAGACGTTGCTAGGGTTTGTCAATAGATTGAGGTCAGAATAGATGACACGGTCAATAAACCCCTTAGATTGTTATGGTTAGATCAATAACATGTTGAAATCAGCTGTGGTTACTGTCTCGCGGCTGTATTGTATAATACTCAAAATAACGTCATATTTCACAATTTCTTTTTGAACTTTTTCGATTGTTTTGAGTCTGTATTGCAGGGTACTCAACCTGTATTTAGGCCTTCCTATAATTTTCGAGCAGGGTGTAAATTTATTTTTATAATTCATTATATTTTTCTTCTTTTGGAAAATTGTCGCTGCAGTGTCGTGCGTTTTTCTTTATTAAGTAGAAAACAAAATATTGAAAAATGGATCGTTAACCATTCAGCATATATACATTATGCAGGTAACATGCGCACCTTCAATTAGCAATTGGTGAATCGGTAAATCTAACACCCCATTCTCATAGATTAGATCGACCTACATTGGATCGACCTAACTCCCTGGGGGTTCACGCTAAATAGCTGTCAGCCGGGCGGACACGAAAGTTAATTACCCCTTAAAGCTTGTAGTAGGCGGGGACGGACACTTAAGGGGGATTATCTGACAGTAATCTAGTGAGACTCCCCGCGGTGATAGATCGATCTAAAAGTTGTGAGAACAGAGCCTAAATGTATATATAATTTAACTAAACCAAAACACTTGTAAGTACATTATTCATTTGCTTTAAAGTAAGTGTGACGCCTACGTTATTTAGAATAACAACCACTCACAGTGTGTGATTTAACTAATCAATCGATATGCTTATTTGAAAGCTGTTGCCCCCTTTCCCCATTATCCCCTGCACGCCCACATTTCGTAATAGCTGTCACATGATTGTCACATGACAGTCAAAATGGAGGACAGGGGAGTCCGAGTTGATATAATCAACAACAACATCGCAGTTATTCGTCTAGAAAATGGACAAAACAGAATTAATGCAAACTTTATTAAGTCATTCAATCAGGCACTGGATACAATCGAAAGGTTGGTGCAAGTTAAAATGTATTCTGGTGCAGATATTTTGACGACTAAAGAGAGCTATTCGTTAACATTTGACTTTTCAAAATTATCTAACAAGAATGCAAATGTTAGGCAATTCACGCAGTGACCCTATATAGCCTAACACGAGAGCCAAAGTCAAAATTAAGCAAAATAGGAATATACATAATCTGTGCTAGTGGTAGGCCTACTCAGGTAACCCTACTCAGGTAAGCCTACTCAGCCCGAACTTGAGCCAACCGCGTGGACAATACATGTACGTGGGCCCTACATGTGAGTATATTAGGATAATGCTCTACAGTATGTAGACTTTAAATTTTGTAGATGAAATTAATCTTCTACGCAGGCACGAGGTCAAGCATTTGCTTCACTTTTTGTTAGATTAAACCAAGGATTCGTATGAGTAAATTATAGGCTAACCACAGGGTATCTAGGTAAATAAAAATGTCTCTTACATGTTCTCATGTCTTTATAGTCACCCTATATATGCATGCTACGGGGCTTTTATCATACATTTAAGTTTGTATCAAGCACAGGCGTAATCTGTATTTAAAACAGCCCAATGACTGGTAAAATATTTGGTAAGTGCCGGCAATCATATTGTCCACAACTTGGATATTACAAAGTTCGAATTCGTCCATGTCCATTTTGTCCATGTCCACAATAAAGATAAAAATCGCATGGTGAGTGTACCTGTAAATACTTGCAGGTCCTAGGCGACAGCTAGCACACAAATGATTACAGCCTGGTGAGCACGACGTATCCGTGTCCTTCATTTTCCCCGTCGTTGCCCGCCTGGTCTGTCCCGGCGTTGTAGGAGCCTCCTCCCCCGCCGCAGGAGTTGGGGTTATTGTCCCCACTCGCCCCGCCAGAGTAGCCGCCCCCTCCGCCCGCTCCTCCGCCATACCCGTAGGCACCGCCCCCTCCCCCGAACCCACCGTTCGCTGTGTTATACCGCGCATCCGGCCAGTAGTGGGTTCTTCCTCCTGCACCGCCGTTCACAAACGCTTTTCCGCCCTCGCCTCCTGTCCCGGACCCGCCGTACTTTGCACTGCTCCTCCCGTCCGTGAGTAGACCGCCCCCACCTCCCCCTGAATTGCTGGAGTCGGCTGTCGAAGCACCCTGTCCGTTACGCCCACCCGGCCAAGCCGACCCTCCAAATCCACGGTTGCCATCGTTACGCGCCGTGCCGCTGCACACAGCCTGTACGATCTTAAGCTGCTCTATCCCACCTCCTCCTCCGGCCACGATCAATGGATCGTTATCAACATATGTGACGAACGTTCCACCGCCACCGCCACTGGAAGATGTGTTGTGACGTTCTCCCATTTGGCCGACCAGGATTTTAAGTTGACGACCTGAAAGAAATTAAGGCTTATGTTTGGTATATTCTTTCTTAGATATTAAATATCTACCAGATAAACTTTGTTACTAAAAGATAACTCGTGCGCGCACACACACACACACACACACACACACACACACACTTGCTAGAGGACTGGAAAATAACTTTGGCAATAGTATGTTGGCTTTATATGACATACGTAATGTTAGATATACGTTTATCAATGTATTCATTTTCAAATTTAACATATACTGTACGCGTTCTTCAAAGTCATTTTTACTATGTCTACATATCCCACAAAGCAACTTTCTTTCCCAAATTCAGACCTTTATAACTATAAATCCAGTATAGTGATAGTAAACATTGATAGTTCCTTCTTCAATTAATATGGAGAAATGGCGTTCTAAATAGCTGCCCAGGCATTAAGAACTAAGACTGGATCCGTCTAACTCCCTCACTTAATTGCAATCAAGTCAACCGGCTTAAATGTCTGTTACCCTCTAACAGCTTTACTACACTGTAAAAACAGTGTTTAGCTCCGAGACACATTTCTTAGCGCCTGTTTTGTCTCATTTTTTCAACGCGTTTAGCACCTAAGCACGTTTAACCTATTAACATGTTACACGCTTTGACGTGCTTCACGCCTAATTAATGTAGGGTGTATTTGTTTAATTTTAAGGTTGTAACGTTTTCAACTGTTTCAGTCACTGCACAAACACGCGCGCGCGCGCGCGAAGTTACGGTCACCTTTAACTGCTATAGCTATCTCTATCTATAACAGGGTACCGTGAACTGTCAACATAGTTGATTCACACCATCATCTTTACAGCGGGACTTATTTATCCTTGTGTTAGCTGACCTTAATTGCGAGGAGGTTAATTGGAATATATTTCTGAAAAACAAGTTAGGAAAATTCACTAGTTTACTAAAGACACGAAACAACTATCACTTTTACTTTAAAACATTTTTTTCATATTTTGATAGAATGCGTTAAGGTATTGATGTTCATTTATTTTTTCCGGAAGTAATGAACAATAGAACATCAGGATGATGGTGGGGTATTCATTATGATGGTTTATTTAAGCTTTCATCACATGCTGGTTATTTTGGTAACGATAGTCCGAATATTTTTCAAATCGCACCGCTCTAGTCGCCGACTAACCCAAGCCCATTTTGGAATTAACCGCTAACTAGTTCATACAGCATAAGACGTGTTTTGGTGATTAATAAAAAAAGTTTTCAAAACATTAAATAATGTTTTTCCAGAATGTTATAAAACGCTTATAAAACTGCAAGCGCATCATTTTGCATGGAGTTAAAAACACCCATAACGTTACCATGATGTTATTCTATACCATCACCATCATGTAACCAGCTGATAACGTCGTGAAAACGTTATCTGTTATTTGGATTATTACTTAATATGCCTATTTTAAATAATTACACGTTACTGCAAGGAAGGACACATCGCGTTCGAGCAGGCTGCTTCTCGCCTCAAACAGCCCTATATGTTTACAAGGGGAAGTGTTAAGCAAAATTGTTGAGTCTTGTAATAAACTTGTTATGGGATCGTATATATGGGATTGTGAAGCATTTTTTTCTGTGACGAGCTTGAAAAGCTAAACATGTTGTTTAGCAGCTCCACGCGTTAAGGAATTCCACATGTTCCAGCTCCATATGTTTAGCAGCCTCACTCGCTTAGCAGGGGAAGTGCTTAGCCAATGTGCTTAGCTTGTGATAGATTGTTATAGAATCATATGCCGGTGAAGCTAAACACATAGCTAAACGTGTAACAATCCCAACGTGTCTAGCTTTTGCTTCTGTGAAACGTTTGAAAAGCTATACGCGTTTAGCATTTACACAGATTTCTAAATGCGTATAGGTGCCTAACGTGTGTTGTATGTATTTAAATGCTAAACACTGTTTTTACAGTGTAGGCGTGACAGACATTTAAGTCGGTTAAGTTTATAGCAATTTAGTGAGACTCCCCAGGGAGATAGATCGATCCAAATATATATCTGCGGGAATGGTCCCGTAACCACTTAATTAAACATTGAATAAACTATTGGATCAAGCGAAAGAAGTGGAAAAGCAATGATTAGGAGAAATTTGCCTTCTTTTCCGAGGAAAATAGATTTTGCCGAGTAATTCCTGCGCAGAGTACCTTTTAGACCCCATTCCCACAGATTTTAGATCGATCTGTCACTGTGGGGAGTCTCACTAGATTACTGTCAGCTTAGCCGCTTAAGCGTCTGACCCGCCTACTAAAAGCTGTAAGGGGGTAATTAACTACCGTGCTCGCTCGGCTGACTGCAATTTAGCGTGAACCCCCAGGGAGTTAGGTCGATCCGCATGGATCGATCTAAATCTCTGGGAATGCACTCTAAGTTTCTGTTAAAAATGTCCTGTATCTTGTTTGCTTTTTATTTAAGAGTTTGCCTTTGTTTAGTCTGATGGCTTATCGTGTTTTTCAAAATAGTTTCTTACCCGCTTTTAAATTGAACGTCCCAGCTACAACAGCGCCTTGACTACGGTAATGACATCCCCTAAAGTCACATCCCCCTGCAGCACCTGGTGAACAGATAATGGATAAACCACAATTAAAAAAAGTTTAGAGGGAGAGAGAGAGAAGGGAGGCAAAGTTGAAGAATATCAAGAAACGTAAAAAGAGTACAAGTCATTTTTTTTCTAATAATCCAACAAAGAATGGTAAAAAATTAATTTAAGCATAAAATGAATATGTATAATACATTACATTCTGCAAAGGAATATAAATAGCGTCTTTAATTTACAAAATAATATTGACAAAATATATAATTTACCAGCGGCACGTATCCTGTAGAGACCGGAGACAGGGATGGTAAAGAGCTGTGTCCCGTTCTCTAAGGTCACCTTGCCCTGATGGTCCTGACCGTCGTAATGTTTACCCACTGAAGTCGGCCCAAGTCGTCCCGTCGCACCGAGATTTGTAAATGTCACATTTCGGAACCCTGCAAAGCCATGTCATGTATTGTTTAGGATAATTCAGTGCTAGAGCAAACGAGGAAGGGTGGAGGCATGCGGAGGTCGAACTGTATGATCGAGCTTCTGTGGTAAGGTGCGAACGAGAAAAAAATGACGTGTGATAGAGTTAAGATCAGATTTATTCTGCACGTTGCAGCATTAATTAATGGAGGTCAGAAGATTTGATTAAAGGCTTACCCCCTTTATAGTCTTTTTAATGCATGAAGTAACGTTAAACTAGCACAAGGGAATGGGGAGATTAACATACGATTGTCCAAGACTTGATACTAACCTACAAGCGTTGCGCACGTCTGCCCCATATATCCAGACAGACACACACAGCTGTAGGAGTTCACACCATCATAACACGTAGCTCCGTTTTTACATGGTTGACTGGCGCATTCATCTTTATCTGAAAGAATTTCTGAACATGTAAATGGACTTGTTAAAAAAACAATATTTTCAGTTTTGTAGTTGTGCAACAGACATGCTGTCAACTGCCACAATTTATCATTGTGAATTTTAAGGCCGCATTCACTACCAAAGTCGATCCGCAGACTAACATCGGGAGTGTGATAACCCTATAAGGTCATACTTGTTGTAATACTGACCTGTGTCATACACGTCTGTCCCGTATATCCAGACGGACACACACAGCTGTAGGAGTTTACACCATAGCCCCGTTTTTACATGGTTGACTGGCACATTAGGATTCTTTCAAAGCAATATTTTCAATTTCCCCTTAAATGCTTTAGATTTTCTCATATTTTACACATTCTTTGGGTTAAAAAGTAATCTTTAACAATGAATAATAAAATTTATAATTAGATTATTTGTTATATTGCCCTTTGTTATCTCCTCCGATACTAACGTTCGTGCTCTGGTTTTATGATTTAGTAATATGGATAGGCTTTCTGAATTTGTTCACTATTTGGTAAGGCTGGCAAGGAAATGAAACTACATTATTTAAAGCATTGCAGGATTCACTGGGAAGCAGAGGTAAAGCCATTGTACGAACCTTTGTTCACAGAAATACATGTAATATAAAATGTTACCAGAATGGCAATTTTAATGTAAAGAGTAATGCATGCATGGAATACATGAAACATATGAACACATCATTTTTGTTTTACGTCGTACTAAATGTGCATCGTATTGAAAGCATATAGTAGAGGTATATTTCAGGTTATAGCCAACATGCACTAATTATGTACAATAAATAAATAAATAAATAAATAAATAAATAAACTCACCCGTGGTGCTAGGACGAGCTGTAGTGGATGTCGTCTTCACGCATTCAACAAGACGCTTAGTTGCCAAATCAAGAGCATGTTGAGCCAGTTTTATCTTCAGATCCAAAGAATTAGAATCCATCGTTGCCAACTGCCTTTTTCCAAATAGTCCCCCGAGTTGTGCAAAGTTGCCAGGCTTATGGAACATATATGGACAATCTGCGTACATCTCTTCCATAAGCCTCTCCAGTTGAATGTTAAGAACATAAAGATGGTAAGATTTAGCAAAGTTGCTTTTAGACGGGCTAATTTGCCCCGTGGCCGTCTGGTACAAGCAGACAACCACGAGTAGGGACCCCAGTGTTAGTTTCAACATCTCGTCACCGAAATGATTATCAAACGCGACGCTCTGTTTCATTTATATAAACGTATAAGGGATCATGTCAAAATCACATATTTTAAATTTATTTTAATAAGTGTGCGGTCACTGTTAAACTCAAACTAAATGATTGAAAATTACATGTATACCAATTGCCTCTTCCGTTTTGACATTTTTAAATATTTTTTAAGTTTAAAAACTTTCCTCTTCAGAATGACACATAATTAAGACTTGTACAGTTAATACGTCTGAATTCCATGTACATTTATTTTTCAGTGAACCCCTCTTATGTTTTTTTTTTTTTCTAGAAAAACAGTCCAGGCGAAATTTTCGGAACCTAGAAATTTCTCTTCCTGCTATTTTTTTTTTTTTTTTTTGCTCGGTCTCCAGTTGGTCCCTAAAGCAAATGTATCTTGGTTGCCACTTTGGCAACTTCTTGCAGTGGCCTTTAATTCCAATAGGATGGGTGAAGGATTAAAAGGAAGCGATAACCTCATAAGAACGTTCATGACTTAATACTGACCTGTGTCACACGTCCAGGTGGACACACAGCTGTAGGAGTTCACACCATGTCAGTGTCCGTTATTAGAGCTGTCATACTTTTAATGTAATGCCAGAAAGTTTTCCTATTCCATTCAATTCAATTTCCAAAAGTTAAAAAATTAGGATGATCTACAATAGTATGTGACATGATTGCATTTTGGTTATGTTATAGCTGAGGAAATCAGGTGGAATCTATACGTATGTAATCAAGTTACAGGCCTAGTTGTGAAGCCAGAATTTAAGAATTTAATCCAGAATACACCGCATTCATTTTAATATAGGAAGTACATCCAAATGTATTAGGAAATGGTCCTCCACCTTGATTCACCTGGTTTAATCAGTTTAAATATCAACCTCTGTCTGGAAGCCATTTACATTTAGTATAGAAGTAAATATTTTAAGTATACATGCAATAACGTTATAGAGACCCATATGGCTGTGAAGCAAGTACCTGTGTAACTACAGTACGTGTTATGTGAAGATATATAAGGAGAGATTTAGATGGAGCCTGGGAGGAGAGAGAGATATGTGAGACAGAGTGAAATGTGAGAGAGTGATATGTGAGACAAAGGTCTGAGTAAACGTCAGACTCCTGGTTGTTACATTCCCTCTCACATGCCTCGGTAATAGCGATACCTGAGATAGGGAGAAACACGGGCCCCTAGAACCATCCTTACACGTAGCCCATTTTATATGATTGTCTGCCGTATGAAGATTATTTGAAAGCATTATTACTAAATTCCCATAAATGTGTCAGATATTTCAAACGTATTACGCAACGATTAGGTTAAAGAGGTCGATTGGTAAAGGCAAAATCAACGACGAATAATTAGATTATTTATCATTTTGTAATTTGTTATCGTAATCGATATTAACGTTCAGGCGCGCTTGGTTTTATGCTTTGGTTATATACTCAGTCTTAGTCAATTTTTTCACATTATTTTGTAAAGGGAGGGTATAAAAAGTGAAATGAAATTTTGATATAATACATTTGAAGTATTAAAGTAATGAAGCAGAGGTTAAACCATTATGCGAACCTAAGCTCAAAAAAAAGGACGGGTTTTTTTACCAGGTTTAGTAGATTTTAATGGGGAATAATATGCCAGCCATCGGTCAGACCTTTCCTAGTTGATCTTTCCAAGTTGGTACAGATTTGTCTTAGGCCCAGTATACCGTTGCTTCGGCAAACAATTATTGCCTACATATTCGGTGTAGAGTTCAGTTCTGGCGATCTTAATGGTCGACCGGTTTTATTATCTCAGAAAAAAAAATTGCAGAATGCACCCTGGTGGCAATCTGCCAATCATTCTGAAGCATACTTGTTGTCTAGGCTTGGTTGTTGCAGCATAACTGTGTAAACGGTCAGTCCTTTCGCCTGCTGATAAATGTGGGGTACCTTGTGCGTGGCCTCTGCGTTGATACGCCAGTCTGGACATACCTCTGAAAAACTTAACGGTTCGTTCCATGTGACCTAATAATCTGACGTCGAATGGTGAAAGACGTGAAGCTGCCTGGGCAATTTTTAGCTGGAAGTATACAGGACTGAATCCGTGAGTGCGGATTTGGAGCGGATTTTCGACGGCTTGGATAAATTAATATTTTTTTCTGCGTTTTGAGCAGAGAATACTTGTAGAAACACGGGGTATACAGTGTGGTATGAAAACGCGTCACGATGCTTCAAGGTACAAAACTGGTTATTTTCAGCCAGCTTCTTGTTTTCTAATACCCTAGGTTCTAGATTCCGGTATTGCCAGCTCGATCTTGATTTCATATATAACCCATATCAGCAATACCAGGCTGAGTTTAGTCAAAGCGACTCCATCACAAGGTATATCTAACAAGCTAGCTTTTACGTTGCTCTGACACTCAGGGTAGTTTTCTAATTAAATAGCTTGCAGCACAACAAAGAACGTCACGGCAAAAAAATCCCGCAAGGTTGTAAATCGTTGTCATATGCAATTTTTGCATCATCACTATGCAGTCAGATATGCCCACATCTACCGTATCTGTTGCTTGGTGTTTTATGGTAAGTGCTGCAATGATCACGATGTTTTAGAGTCCTTAATTAGTTGTGAAAACCAGGAAGTATTTCGCAACAAACAATTGCGGTAAACCGCACCGAACCACGATCGTTGTACAATGATGATTTTTTTTCATATTGTGACGAGTTTTTAGATTGTTAAATATATCATGCCTTACGCCATTCGACGCCATATGACGCTCACAATCCTAACTTTCAGAAAAAACACTTTGTAGAGAGGGAAAGTGGAAAAAGTACCAGAGCCAGACTAGCAGTTTAAAAAATATAATATCCATTAAATCTAAATCGAACTGTTTAATGAGAAATACAAAATAAGTAGTCTACATGATAAGGAAAGTGAGTAAAGCAATTGAAGACATATATTTAGTAAACTGCAGAATCTACGGAAATATAAAAGGCCAAAGTAGGCCTACTGCATTTATTTGCTCCTTATTGTTGCGGCGGTGTCTTTTGGAAGAACTGCGCTGTTTTATGCATTTCCGCAGATTTCAAAAGCTACTGAGCCCCCCCCCCCCCCCCCCCCCCCAACGCCTACGTAATAGTCGTCACATGATTATCAATTGACAGTCAAAATGGGGGACAGGGGAGTCCGAGTTGATATAACCAACAACAACATCGCAGTTATTCGTCTAGAAAATGGACAAAACAGAATTAATGCAAATTTTATTAGGTCATTCAACCAGGCGCTGGATACAGTCGAAAGGTTGGTGCAAGTTAAAATGTATTCTGGTGCAAGTAGTTAAACAAGAAAAACATAAATTCTTGAACATTCAATTAAAAATAAAAATGAAACAAGGATGCAAAGGTTTAGAATCCATACAGCGTCCCTGTAAAGCAAGAGCTCAAAATTAAGCGAAATGGAATAAATATTTAGTCCGCACTCCAGCTAACGGCGTGACCATATAGTGTAGGTCTACTTGTACGTTACTTTAACTTGATGTATGTAACTTACAGGGGTAGGCTACACTTGGATTTTGAAGATAGGTCGTATAATCTGCTGCAAGAACAGGAAGTCAAGCGTTTGTGACATATTCTCTTAGTTTAACATAGCTTAAGGTGCTATATATCCTAAATCAACCACAGGCGTAATGTGGATTTAAAACCGCTTACTGGCTGGAACAAATACATTTGAACAAGCATTACAAATAAGCGGCCGTAGGCTAATGTCATCAGTATGTATAAGAACTGCGTATTGAATGTAAAATAGGGACAGCTAGCACACAGATGGTTACAGTCTGGTGAGCACGACGTATCCGTGTCCCTCATTTTCCCCGTCGTTGCCCATCTGGTCTGTCCCAGCGTTGTAGGAGCCTCCTCCCCCGCCGCAGGAGTTGTNTACTTAGCACTGCTCCTCCCGTCCGTGAGTAGACCGCCACCTCCTCCACCAGAATTGCTTGAGTCGGCTGTCGAAGCACCCTGTCCGTTACGTCCACCTGGCCAAGCTGATCCTCCAAACCCACGGTTGCCATCGTTACGCGCTGTGCCGCTGCACACAGCCTGTCTGCCCGTGAGGGTTTCCACCCCGCCTCCGCCCCCAGCCACGATTAACGGGTCGTTGTCAGCATATGTAACAAACGTCCCACCGCCGCCACCAGTGGAAGATTTGCTGTGACGTCCTCCCATCTGACCAACCAGGATTTTAAGTTGACGACCTGAAATGCAGGAAGAATGTTTATATTTTTTTACATTCAAAACGTCTGTCAGATAAATATAATTCCAAAAAAAGACGCACGCATGTGTACACACAAACAGACACTCATAGTGACACACACACACGCACAAACAATAACATATAAGTGGTTGTAGTGAATGCAGTTAATTTCAGTATTTCTGTCATTAAAAGAAAGCGTGGTAGTCGCACCTATATTTCAACTTTTTTTTACATACAGTGTACTGGTGCGTACATAACAATACCAAAATAGCCCTTCGTGAGGTATGTTAATATTATAAATAAGAAATTAAAACTACATGTTTATGTCCTTTTATCTCCTAGTATATGCTATGTCTAATGTCCCAGCCTGTGTTTGCGATACGTTTAATTTACCTGCATCTAAATTGAACGTCCCGGCTACAACAGCACCGCGGCTGCGGTAGTTACACCCTCTTGCGTCACAGCCCCCTGCAGCGCCTGGTGGACAGATGATGAACAAAAAGTAAATTAGAATACATGTCCCAACAGAGAGAGAGAGAGAGAGAGAGAGGGTAGCGATTAAAGGGTGGAAAGATGGTGGTCTTACTAGTGAACACGCACAGGAATAGGCAGACCAATTATTGTTATTTTTTTTACTATTATTATTAATGAAGATATATCTTTAAGTACAAAAAAAAAAACACTTTAAGATAATTCTATCTAAGGGACATCAGTGTACCGGTACATAACCTATTTAATTTACAAAATAATGCTAACGAAGTATATAATTTACCAGCGGCATGTATCCTGTAGAGACCGGAGACAGGGATGGTAAAGAGCTGTGTCCCGTTCTCTAAGGTCACCCTGCCCTGATGGTCCTGGCCGTCGTAATGTTTACCAACTGAAGTCGGCCCAAGTCGTCCCGTCGCACCGAGATTTGTGAATGTCATATTCCGAAACCCTGAAAACAGATATTTCTTTGTAATTAAATCACCGCATTGGGCAGGTTTTAAAGTCCTTTTCCGCTATGACTGATCTTTCAAACTAGTTAACTGTATATAATATCGTCAGAATCGACCTACCTTTAACAGTGCAATTTTCATAATTGGAAACTAATTCTCTCAGAGCAAATACCCCTGCCTCCAGCATTAGTTGGTCGGAAGTGGGCGCTTCTCGCTTAGACAGTCTGCTCCTCATTGCCATGACGTCCCACCAGTGGTAGTTGATGCTTTCCGAGCAGTACTTTACAAGTGCCCGCGTGAACTTTGCAATGTACTGGGAGACGACTCTGTGATGCACCTTGCTTGCAAGTACATCTTCCAAATTTTTATTCGGGTCTTTGGCCAGCTGAGTGGTCTGTGATTCCCCATTTTCAAGACAGCTGAAAAGTAAAGCCACTATTACGAGCAGATACATGTTCGAGTACATGAATATCTCTACTGTCAGGTTTCTCCTTAAGCCAGCTCGTTCTGTCAGCTACGACTCTTGCTCTCTTTTATAGTGCTGCTTTGCTGCAACGCAGGGGCTGCACCTAGGCCTGGCACACTCGATAAGGAAGCAGGATGCACACACGAGATAATCATGGTAAAAAATTGGGAAAATGTCCGCAGATCCCGGATCTTTTAGTTTTTGGTACTGTGGTGATTTCATTGCAGTAGCAACATACCGGGATAGACAATTGAAATTATTTATGATGGAGTTTTAAAGACTGACAGGTTCTTAAAGCGGCATGTTCACTCCTAAAGGAGGGTTTTTAATGGGAGCGTGAATTTCCAGTAACGCATTTTAATGGGAGCGTGAATTTTCAGAAACGCATTTTAAGTTAAAACTAGGAAACAGCTTATGCAAGTTTCTTATAAAAAAAAAAGTCGACAAACCAAGGATTTAACCGAATTAATCACTTAATCAGCCATGAAAGTACCTTAAACTGCACATCACATTCTTCATTTTTTGGTTGTTAATTTAACCTTCTGACATATATCTGACTTATTTATCTGCCCCGTTTTTATACAGCACAGAGATCGAACAGGAACAATCCTCAAAACAATCATTCTTCTGGTAACATGAATTTTTTTTTTTTTTTTTTTTTTTTTTTGCATTTGTAGCAAAAATGACTACAAATACATCTTTGAGTGAAATTTTGAATCAGTTGAAGCACTAACCACACGTGCTTTTTTGATGACATTTTATTCCTGTGAGTCGTCGTGCACAAACACGCCACTTAACATCACGAGGTAGAGTTCCCGCTAGTTGCATTGTTCTTTTCGTCGAAGATACACAGCGCATGATCAACTAGGAAAACCGCAGTGCAATCTCGCTTTGCTCACGGGATAATGTAAACAACCGCGCGTCAAAAAAATCCTCTTGCATCTGATATTTTAAGTTCGTCGCGAGCACTGAAAAGACAATAAATAAAAAATTAGATAGATAAGCATGTTTCAAGATAGATAGAAGGATAGATGGTGTAAAAGAAGTCAAAGGCGTGAAATAATATGTTGCAATACTGGAGTTCATAAATTGTAATTTAATATGGCATTTTGCTTTTAGAAATTAGAAATGTTTTCAATTATAACGTCATAAGGGATTTATGCTAAAAATGACACAATAAAGAAGCTATAGAGTGGAGTTACGTGTAGAAATTAACATTTCTTTAAATATTCATTTTCTTTGAAGAATTATATATTTCTTAGAGGAATCACACTGCTTTCAATACGATAATTTGGTCTCGTGTAAATTCATATCTTTCAATTGTTTATTCACTTGCCTTTTTTTTTCAGCAAATCCAACATCCAAGCGCTGATAACTACAGGAAAGGACAAGTTTTATAGCAATGGGCTAGACCTGGAGTGGCTGGGCGGTTCAGGGGCAAAAGATCGGGAGGCATTCATGAGTGCATTTAATGCCCTTTGTGTGCGAATCCTCACGTTCCCTATGCCCACTATAGCAGCTTTGAATGGTGAGTTTACTGGAGGTCTTTGTGGATTGCGTTAGATGTGATTATGTTGCATTTTGTACAGGTTGAGAACAAGATTACAGTTTAAGCTTCTACGGTACGATACTGCAGTAGTAATGATCAGATAGTAATCTTTGTAATGTGGCTTTGATATGAAAAGTGATCTTAGTAGTTCTTGCTATGGAATATCATAAACTAAATGATCGACAAAACGCGTCGTAGTCATAAATTCATATCTTTCTCTCGCAACTGGGGACATATTGTACATAAAATGCTCGAGATTGTATGGCTGTAGGTTTTCTGTGCTTATTTATCACCTAACCGGAATACATGTATATCACTGTAAGTGTCATGAAATGCAAGATACCTATCGCTTACCCACTGCACACACCCAATTTTTTCCTTAAACTCCCGATCTTCCTAGGCCACGCCTTTGCTGGGGGCGCCATGCTTGCCCTGTGCCACGACTACCGTGTGATGAGGACGGGGAGAGGGTGGATTTGTCTTAATGAAATAGACCTCAAGATGAGATTTACAAGATTCATGTTGAACCTAATACAGTAAGGAACTTTAATGGTTGACAATTCTGTGCATATATGTATACTTTTTTTTTTTTTTTTTTTTTTTTTTTTTTTGAGGGGGGGAGTATAACTGGGCCACAAGGACATTGCTGGAAATGTTATTTTGTCTTATTTTGCTTCTTACATCTGTTGTTGTTGTTCCTCTTGTGCTTTTTTCTTTTATTGTTAATATTATTATTATTATTATTATTATTATTATTATTATTATTATTATTATTTGTAAGAACTCAAATATGAATGTTACTTTTTTATTTTCTCTTATTTTTTCTCTCCTCCTTCACGTTACCTCTCATGTATCCCCCCTTCCCTCCATTGTGTCTCACGTCTCCACAATACGCTCTCTTCTGTGTTATTTGTTCTGTTTGTTGTTATGTTAATTTGTTGTGTTAATTTGTTCCATCCCCAGGTCAAAGGTGAAGTCCTCCATCGTTGAGACGGACATGCTGGTCATGGGCAAACGCTTCGCAGCAGACGACGCTCTCACCGCAGGTCTAGTCACACTAATAACAGGTCCTGATCAACTAATAGAGAAATCAGCGGGATTAGCCGAGCTAGTGATCGGAGCTAATGGTTACGATAGGGGTGCTATGAAAGACATGAAAAGGGACGTTTATGCGCGTGTGGTAGCACTAGAACAGATGCTGAGAGGAAAGGACGCTGCTGCAAAACTTGATCTCTCTGACCTTATATCTAAGTTGTAGGCCGCTTTTAAAATCAAATTCGGCCAATAGAGTCCAAGTCACATCGTATGGTTATGGCTTGCACAGTGGCATTTTTACTAGCAAATTTGTAATGCGGCTCTTAGGATGAAAGAAATTACTTGGGTCGGGGAGGTTGAAGATCATGGAATATACTAGTGCTGTACTAGCAACTACATTATTTGTACCGCCTATGGTACCAAAGAAAAAATAGAAATTATCCATTACCCCCGTCCCCGGTCCCACACTGTAGTCTTCATAGATATTTGCCTGGGCCTGCATTCAAGATAATGATAACAGGGCCAGATGACTGGGAAACATATACATGTACTTGACCTGTTGGTTTGAGTTCCTACGTACTGGGTACGTGTGAAACCGTAATTGAATAAAACAATGAGCTATTAGTATATAAGTGTGTTGTTTATTTAATGATGGGCGGTTGTCAGCATTACAAGATAATGATGATGTTCACTTCAGCGAAGGAGTTGAATAGACCTACTCCTTGCTGTAACACGAGTTGCTTTAACTACATAAAGATACATGATGTACAGGTAGACAGAAAGATAGATAGATTGATACATGTACGGTAGACCAGTTCCATTTCCCGCATCATCTTCTTACATTTTGATTTCATGTTATCTTAAATGTCACCTTTTTATTTACTTCATTTCTTCATTTTATTTTTGTTGATGCCCTTGTTACATTCTACGTCTCCCTTGTTTATCTATGGGGTATGTTTACAGTTATTTTGGGCAGTCTCT